CCCCTTCCAAATAAATTTTAGTAGGTCTTTTGTCCAGTTTTTAAATGTCTTAATATTCCTAATTATAGGTAGATTTTGGAACAAATACAATAGCTTGGGGAGGACTGACATCTTGATTAATGCAATTCTTCCCATGAGTGAGAGGTTGAAATGTTTCCATCTCTCCAAGTCTTTTTTGATGTCTTTCCATAATTTTTCGTAGTTATTGGACAGGAGCTGACCATTTTTAGGAGTTATCCAGATGCCTAAATATTTCATTTTATTAACAATTTGGAGGCCCGTAATTCTTTTCAGTTCTTCCTGTTTTTCTTTGGCCATATTCTTAGTTAAAATGGTGGTTTTATGTTTATTTAATTTGAAGCCTGCCAGTCTTCCGAATTCCTCTATAGTAATGAGCCATTTTTTAATATTTTCACATGGGTCCTCAATTATTCCAATTATGTCATCCGCATAAGCTCTGGCCTTGTATTCCTGTCTTCCTATTTTGACCCCTTTTATTTGTGTGTCCTCCTTTATTTTCTTCATCAATATTTCCAATGACATAATAAAAATCAAAGGGGAGATGGGGCATCCTTGTCTTGAACCTTTTTCTATTATAAATTCATCCGAGGTTTGACCATTGATCTGTATTTTAGCTTTTTGATTTTTATAAATTTCTTCAATTGCGTTGGTAAATTGGTGGCCCAAATCCATTTCTTTCATTAAGATCTTAAAGAAATCCCAATTCAAGTTGTCGAAAGCCTTCTCCGCGTCGACCGCGAGGAAGGCCATTTCTTTTTGTGGGTTGGCTTCAAAAAATTCTATCATGTCCATAACTATTCTCAGATTGTCCTTAGTACTTCTCTTAGGTAAAAAGCCAACCTGTTCCTCCCCTATCCATTTGCTTAAAAAGTTCTTCAATCTTTGTGCCAGAATATTTGTGAAGATTTTATAATCTACATTCAGTAACGAAATGGGTCTATAGTTTCGAACATCTGTTGGTTCAGTGTTTTCTTTATGTATTACTATTATCTCTGCGGAGTTCCATGTTTCAGGAATTCCGTTATCTGTAAAGGCCCCATTCATTACTCTTTTTAGCATCGGTATAAGCTCTTTTTTAAAAGTTTTGTAGTAGCCCGCCGTGAAGCCATCTGGGCCCGGCGCTTTGTTTGCGTCCATTCTCCTTATTGCCTCCTCAATCTCCTCCTCCGTTATTTCTTTATTTAAATCCTCTCTTTGAGAATCAGTAATTTTAGGAATATTAAACTTGCTTATGTAGTCAACTATGTCCTGTTTTAAAATTCCATCATTCTTATAAAGCTTCTCGTAATATTCTTTAAATTCCATTAGAATTCCTTTATCTGACATCACTTCCTCTTTTCCTTTCACAATTTTTATTATTCGTTGGGTCTGTTTCTTTTTTCGTACTTGTTTAGCTAACCATTTACCTGATTTGTTTGCATTCTCAAAGTAATATTGTTTTAAAAATCTTAACTGTTTTGCTTGTTCCTCTATTTCCAGATGACTTCTTTTCTGATGAAGTAATTCGATTTCTTTAAGTATAGTTTTGTTGCCCGGATCATTCTTTAATTCTAGCTCCTTTATTCTTATTTTATTTAGGATTTCTTTTAAGTCTTTCTGTCTTAACCTGTTGTTTCTAGCATTATGTTGGATGAGGTGGCCTCTCAATACTGCCTTGGAAGCATCCCATATTACATTGTGGTGTGATTCTGGAATATTATTGATCTCCATATAGTTATTAATGAGTTCTTTATATTGTTTTATATCAGTGTCTTTTCTTATTAAATTCTTCCTTTTGGTCTTCTCTCATTAAGAATAATTTCCAATGGGGCATGGTCTGAGATGTCTCTTGGTAGTATATTTATGTCCCAAATTTTTGTAATGATGTTTTTCGTGGCCCAACACATATCTATTCTCGACCATGTACAATGTCGGTTGGAATAAAATGTGTAATCTTTTTTTGTAGGGTTTTTCCATCTCCAGGCATCTTCTAGAAGCTGATCTTCTTTTAAATCTATAAATTTTTTCGGTAGGGTGACAATTTTCCCTTTGGGTGCTTTCTTTTGGACTTTCGATTTATCTAATTGGCTATTCAATATCCCATTGAAGTCACCCAAAATTATCAAGTCATCGAATTCCACCTCGTCCAATTTCCCTTTAAAATTCTCCACGAACATAGTTTTAGGGCCATTTGGGGCATATATACTACATATTAATGTTTTTTGGTTACCAGATAGTATTTTCACCGCCACAAATCTTCCTTCTTGGTCCTTAAAGGCTAATTCAGATTGTATGTCATCTTTAATATATAGTGCCACCCCTCTTTTCTTTTTTTCAAAAGAGGAATGGTACAATTTGCCGATTTTTTTATTTACTAAATGGGCTGTGTGTTTGTGTATGATGTGGGTTTCCTGTATAGCCATCACATCATATTTTCCTCCTTTTAATTTATTAAATAATGAATTCCTTTTATTTGGAGAATTAAGACCATTCGCATTTAAAGARAGAATTTTTATTTGTCRTTCAGATATCATTGTTAACATTGTCTAAGTCCAGTCCTGGGTCGTCTCCTTCTTCTTCTGGGTTAGATGTTTCTTCGTCGTCATTATCCGTTCCTAAGGTTTCATAATCCGGGGAGTTGAATCTTGCTCTTTTACTATTCTTTCCCTTTCTTGGGGTAGTTGGGGCCTTTTTTGAGCTGGCTCCAGCCTCCAGTTTACACTCTTGCCTCGGTGATTTGCCTCCATTCTTATCGGGTTTTTGRTTTTTTATTAGTCTCTCATAGAAATCCTTTGCCTTGTCTATGGACGTCAACCAGTATTTTTGATCCTGGAAAGTTGTCATTATTCCTTCAGTTTTTTCCCACCTGAACCTGATGTTTCTTTTCTTTAATTCRTCTGTGAGGAAAAAATACTGTCGGCGTTTTGCTAGCATTGTTTGTGGGAATTCTTTTAACACCACCACTTTTTCTCCCTTGAATTGTAGAGGAATCTTGCTATGGGCTTGCAACACCTCATCCTTAGTCTTTTTTCTCACGAAATTCACAATTATATCTCTTGGCGTCTTATTCTTTCTGGAGTAATCCGTAGAAATTCGATATATTTGATCCACTTCTCTGTCCAATGCTTCCAATGAGCTCTTCAGTGCGGATGCCAAAAGTTCTAGGGTAATTTGTCTTATATTTTCATTTGGGCTTTCCTGTAGATTTCTTAGTCTAAGTTGACTTTCCAAATCCTTTAATTCAAGAAATTCTTGGTGCTTTTCCAGTCKTTGTCTTTGTCTTTCCCATGTGGTCATGTTCTCTTGAATATTCTTCTGTAGTTTGTCCTTCTCTTTTACTTTCATCTTTATATCTTTAATTTCTTGTTTCATGGTTGATAGGTCTTTGTCCACTTTTCCAATTTCTTCCTTGAATTCTTTTTTAAGCTCCTCTTTTAACTCAATTTTCAATTCAACTAATTTATTTTGCATCTCCTTGTAGTGCTTTTCATGTTTTTCATTCAAATCTTTAATCCCTTTTTCGAATGATGCCTGTAGATTAGCTTGTGTTTCTGCTAGGTTTTGGATTGCTTTCACCATGTCCTTCAAACTTACATCTTGTGAGCCCTGAGAATTTCTCCTTTGCAGCAGGGACTGGTCCAATTTTATGTCCTGTTTTACTTTAGCTATGGGGTCTTGCTTTGCCTTTGGTGTAGATGTTGCCATAGTCCTGTATATAGTTTTCCAATCTATGATCCAAAATCTGATTATAAATTAATATACACACCCGAATAAATTATTTAAATTCCTTCAGATTGGTGTGTTAAATTAAATATGGTGTTACAAAAGACAATCAATTCTGTAAATTTCTTAAAAAATCAATTAATTGAATTATTTAGATAGCAATTACAGACCTCTCAATTTATTTTGAATTAAATTTATTATATTAAATCAATTTATTAAATTAATCCATCCGTCTCACTGCGCAGTCATATATTATGTTCCTTATGGTCCTCTTCTCATTTCTTAATCTCTGGTCCTTTGTCGTCTGTCTGTTAGCCGTTTCTCCTTCCCGCTGCTCCTCTGCCGCTGAGTCTCCACTTCCAGCCTTCACCATGGTCTCCGTCTCCTTCTTTCCCTTTAACTTCTTCAGCCATTTCGCCTCTCCCTTCCGCCCTTCTTAACAATGGCAGTTTTCTCTCTTCCACCCTTTTACCCGTCGATTGCCTCACTTCCGCCCTTACTATCAGCCTCCTTCACTCTTCCGCCCTTTTTGTTCCCTGCCGTCTTTCCGCTTCACGCTCCTCCCTTTCTGTCTCGTCACTTCCCTTCAGCTGAAGGGGGACTTTGTTTACAAGAAGGAGTGAAGATAGACAAAACAATATGTCGTCAAGGTCAGGATGGCTTCTCTTATTCTTCAGGGCTTCTGTGTGGTTTTTTTTTTTTTTTTGCAAAATTTCCAGGGAGGGGAGGGGGGTTCAAATTGAGGCGTTGAGGAGGGCTATTTCTTGGAGAGGGCAGTTGGGGGGGAGGGGGGGAGGTGATCCTCGATCCCCTTAGTATTCCCGTAAGTTACAATTCAAAGCAGTTCAATTCAATTTAGTCCGGTGTACTCTTTCCAAATTCTTCAAAATTAATTTGCCCCCATACAAGCTGTTCGAATTCCATGCAAATCTATTTGTATCTATTTGTATCTAAATGCAGTCCGATTATGTTCGACTTCTAATAATTATTCTCAGATTGGATCCTGGGGTACGCTTCCAGAGTTCAAACTCTTGTCTTTACTATTCTTTGTTCCGTGACAGAAACAGCTAAAATTTCTTCTTACTTACCCCCACGCCAGGGGATTTATTCTTGGTTGTCACTTCTTATTTTAAGTGGAGTGTGGCGGCAGCTGGTGCAGGGATGCACCCCCGCTTCCCATGGAGCGACCCACTGCCGTTGGTTCACTCCCGGACCCCTTCTGCCCCCACCCTTGAGGGGATAGCAGCTTATGGGGTCTTCGGGTGGTCCCAAACGGCTTCGCGTCCCCTCAGCACTCTATCCGGCCAAGGAGGGGAGCTGTGTGCTCAACCCGGTCGCTCTACGTGGTTCCTTGCCGAGGAGCCTCAGCAAGGCACTCCTGTCGCCATAACGCTCCACCGGAAGTCCCCCATAGCCAGGATTTTGATTTGGGGGGTGCTGAGTTTGATTCGGGAGGGGGGCTGAGTTTGATTCGGGGGGGGGGCGAGGATCTATCCTAGCAAACCTTTTGTGTCGTTATCCCAATAGCCCCATGCATATGGGATATATTGAGCATGGTGATCAGATCATGATGTGAATAAACATAACAGTTTAAATAATGTACCTGTAAGGTCTTCCCGCGGACCACCCTGAGAATTTGGGGCGGGGGGGCTGAAGCCCCTCAAGCTACATGACTGACTGTGCAGTAGGTGGCCTATAAAGTGAATGGTTTTACAAGATCCTTGTCATTGGAATAGCCAATTTGGTTAAGTAGAGGTGCTTCACTTTTAATTTCTTGGAAGTTAATATTATAATATCAAATACAAAGGTTGATCCTTTCTCTTAGGAGTGGTTTACAGCCTTACGAACCGCCAGCCTGAAGGGGAATTCCAGACAGGAAACAATCAGGGCCAGCTAACACCTCCCAACATAGATCCCCCCAGGCAGGAAGCAGGCAGGCTTTGAAGCAGCAAGACCATTAAATGCTAATCAAGGTGGCCAATTGCAACATTCATGCTTGCCGCAAACAGACAAGAGTTCTTTCTCCCACCCTGGACATTCCACAGATATATAAAACCAATTTGCCTAGTTTCCTACAAACCTCACAACCTCTGAGGATGCCTGCCATAGTTGTTGGGGAAACGTCAGGAGAGAATGCTTCTGAAACATGGCCATACAGCCTGGAAAACTCACAGCAACCCAGTGATTCCGGCCATGAAAGCCTTCGACAACACATTACTATAATGGTCCCTAAAAAATCTCTATTGGACTCTTGATCTTCCATAAAGCTTCAATGAAGGCATAGGATAAAACGCATTGTAATGTACTATGCAATATGCTTATGATGTTTACATTTGAAAGGAAGGCAGCATTGAGTCCCGCTATAGACATTCATTCACATGTTTTAGGTTCTTTAGTTTAAATTGACTGTGTTTCTCAGCAGTGCAGATAATGAAAGACACAATAAAAATGATTCATAAAGTCTTAATGAGCAAAATCAATACACAGTAGAGTCTCGCTTATCCAACATAAACAGGCCGGCAGAAGGTTGGATAAGCAAAAATATTGGATAATTAGGAGGAATTAAGGGAAAACCTATTAAACGTCAAATTACGTTATAGTTTTAGATATTAAGCACCAAAGCATCATGTTTTACAACAAGTCGACAGGAAAAGCAGTTCAATACACGGCAACGTTATGTATTTACGAATTTAGCACCAAAACACTGCAATGTATTGAAACAGCAGTCGATCCGGGCAGGAAGCAGACTGCATTGGATAACACAGAACGTTGGATGAATAAAGGTTGGATAAACGAGACTCTTCTGGATTAGAAATAGATATTATTCTGATATGTTCTTTCTTGGATTTGTAGATTACTCACTGGAAGGAAGATACATTCTGAAAAAGAAGCTATAGAGGTAGGTATGCTGGACCCTACATTTCTGCTACAGCGTCTTTGTGCCCCAAAGCTCCAGTGAAAGCATTTTGAAGCCCCTCATGTAGTCTCTTATGGGCTGTAGGTTGATTTCCCAGGAATTGTGGGGAGGCATCAGTTTGTGAAATGATGCTTTTGTGAACAGTGTTGACGCAGCGTATGTGACTGCTTGAGGAAGGTAATTGTGGTTGCATGAATGATGACGTTGCTCATGATGGAAGCCCTGATTGATACAATCAGTGCCTCTGGGAGCTCTCAGGGGTCCATGATTCATAGTAGCTTCACAGATGGCCATGCAATCACTTTTAAAGTATGAGCTGGAACCAAAAATCTTGCCAAGAGCAGTATTTTTAACTTTTACCATGTCTCAAGAAAGGTTAGCAATTGTTGAATGATTGGCTTCAAATGTAGCACATCTTTTACCTTCTAGTGCTAGAAACCCTGTCAATGCTAGAAAAGAAATATACAATCAAAATAATTGTGCTGTCTGTTATAAGGAATGCCACTGACCTTTGGAAACCATGACACTTGAAACACTGTCTTTTGATGGCTGCAATGTAGTAGACTCTCTGTTAACCAGAACTCAAAGAACCAGAACTCTCAAGCAACCGGCAAAAAATTAAAGAACTAATTATTTAAATAAATATATATGTGTGTGTTTTATTTATTTATTTATTTACATTTATATGCTGCCCTTCTCACCCCGAAGGGGACTCAGCAGCTTACAAGATATATATACATAAAATATATTATATTATTAGCATAGTACAATATCAGCATTATATATTACTATATTGTACTATACCATTAGGAGCCCCCGGTGGCACAGTGGGTTAAAGCGCTGAGCTGCTGAGCTTGTTGACCAAAAGGTTACAGGTTCGATTCCAGGGAGCAGCGTGATCTTCCACTGTCAGCCCTAGCTTCTGCCAACCTAGCAGTTCGAAAACATGCAAATGTGAGTAGATCAATAGGCAGGAAGGTACGCTCCATGCAGTCATGCCGACCACATGACCTTGGAGGTGTCTGTGGACAATACCGGCTCTTCAGCTTAGAAATGGAGATGAGCACCATATCCCAGAGTCAGACATGACTGGATTTAATGTCAGGGGACAACCTTTACCTACTATACCATTATATTGTAATATTATTAGTAATATTTCATATAATATAAAATATATAATTATAATATCATATTATTACTATTATTATTATTATTATATTGTAATAATAAAACTGTGTTATATTAAATTAGGTTTGTCTTTATTTGCCTTAATTTGTTTTTAATTGAGGATTTTCAATATAATAGAGAGCTTATGGTATGGCGGAGCCCCCAGTGGCGCAGCGGGTTAAACCGCTGAGTTGCTGACTGAAAGGTTAGCAGTTCGAATGCAGGGAACAGGGTGAGCTCCCACTGTTAGCTGCAGCTTCTGCCAACCTAGCAGTTTGAAAACATGCAAATGTGAGTAGATCAATAGATACCACTTCTGCGGGAAGTTAATGGTGCTCCTTGCAATCATGCTGGCCACATGACTTTGGAGGTGTCTATGGACATTGCTGGCTCTTCGGCCTAGAAATGGCCGAAGAGCCATTTCTAGGCCGATCGACCCCCCAGAGTCGATCACAACTAGATTTCATAACAAGGGAAACCTTTACCTTTACTTATGGTATGGCATAGTATGGGGTATATTAATAGGTCTTTTTTAAAAATAGTAAATCTCAAACAACCAGCTACTACATTTATCCAGCATCTATCAATATTTAATAATGCCCCTTGATGTTTACATGACAGAATCGTAATTGCATTACTGAAACAATTAGTGGAAGTGTGTTTCATGTTGCCATCAGTCTTATTACTGCACTGGTAAGTGAAATATTGCAGTGAGGACATCTATTTGTGCCATTTCATCTTTATTTAGGTCTTCAAACCCTTAACCTTTCAAGGAAAACCCAACTTTTGAGACAGTTTTATCTCCATTTTGGTAGCCTACTGTACACCATGTAAAAGACCTCTAATTATACATCAGCTGTTTGTATGTGTGTGTGTGTGTGTATGTATGTGTATACATAAATACAGTGGGGGGGGGGAGTATTTAGTCAGATACCAATTGTACAAGTTCTCCCACTTAAAAAGATGAGAGAGGCCTCTAATTGACATCATAGGTAGACCTCAACTATGAGAGACAACCTGAGAAAACACATCCAGAAAATCACATTGTCCGATTTTTAATGAAATTGTTTGCAAATTATGGTGGAAAATAAGTAATAAGTACAATTGGTATCTGACTAAATACTCCCCCCCCCCCCACTGCATGTATGTATACACATACACATATCCACATGCACTCCATTACCACTGTCCACTTGCTCTTGTTATTTTTCCCTAGTGCTATTAAGGGAAGGGAAGATAGCTTCCTTTGGTGTACTGTAGATGCAAACTAAGCATTTCCCCGAGGCTTTGATTCATGATGGAAGATGAAAGAGCTGGGCAGACATCCAGGATTTCAGGCACATTCAGCTAACAGGCACAGAGAATTATGATGCTAAAATAAACTGGCAATGGCAGAATGTTTCAGCACATTTGAAGGTATCTTCTAAAAAGGGATAACTACAATTGGGATGGGAGAACAGTAATTATTACTGTGATAACACATCATTGTTATAAAATATGTAGTAGTTTTGTTACAAGATGATGCAGTAAATAGCTTTCAGTACATAAATCACCCCAGGCCTTTAGCCGATGGAATCTATCATCTCCTAACCGAGGCTTTCTACCCAGACTGTTCCATGGCTGACACCCCATTTCCTTATAAATGACTAAATGGGGCTCCTGAACATGGTTCCTGGTAGATGGGTTTTCAAGGGCTATATAGTACAGAAGCAAAAGCTTGTTTGGCATATCTCCCATCCCAATATCTATGAGAACTGTACAAGAAGTCCACTACAAGGAAAGTCTCCTTCCCTGGTCCTTTTTGTTGCACAGCAAGCGGATCTTAGCCCTGTCCCATGCACAAGACACACAGACAAGAATAGAAATCAACAGAAAAATATTTACTCTTAATAGCAGAGATGAAACACAAAGTTGCAATGTTGCATACAAAAACAAACAGTGCAAGAAACTTACATAGTCTTTGTAAGTAACACAAAATAAGGCATCTTCATCTTAAGTCAAATGAGAAAACAAAACATAAACCTTGAGCAAACAGCTATTCCTCCATAGCCTCCTTTAGAGCAGCATAACGGCTTCTCTCCAACCTTCTCCTCAGAGCAAGGCCTTTGAGCATAGATCTCCTCAGAGAAAAAAGCTCTCCAGAACTGTATTTCAAAAACCCATACAGTTATACCCTATCGGGTCCAAGATTGCTGGTTGACCTACATTACCAGCTGTACATAATAATTACCATCATAAGGTTTTACTTCAACACACATACACTTACTGCTACAACTTACTGTAACACTTTTTCAGCCTTTGGTCTCCCTCTTCATCTCTTCTCAGCTTTCAATTACCAAGTGAAAACAAAACTATCTATTTAAACCAACCATTTCTATTCAGCGGGACGTCTGTTAACATTTTGTCCATAATGCTAACATGGATTCTAAAAGCCATCTGCCTAGTGGCAGATGCCAACACTGTGTGATGGTATAATTGTGATGCAAGTTTGTGGGTTTCCCATATCAAGGACCATCGGGTTGTATCCCTATGCTTATTTGTATTCCAAGTTAGCAGAATATAGAATGTGTTGGATACAGACTTTGTTATCCTTCTGAAGGTCATTGCATTTGGAGTTGCCCTGGAAGCCCTGCGGGACCACAAATAGCCCGAGGAGCCATAATTTTCCCACTCTTAGATTAGACTACAGAAATGAATAAGACCTTCTTTAGTTAAGTCTTATTCATTTAAGTGGCTTTCCTCCATATATGAGTCTGAACCCATCTCATGACTAAGTCTAGATCCAACTTTGCGGATAGGATTAATTAGTGAGTGGGTGTTCCAGCAACCCCACTGAGTCCATTTGGTTCCTATAAGTGAAGCACTGTGATGTTCGTTTAGCTAATTAGGTTCTGCTGTAATGAACATCCTGGTGCCAAGAATGAGAGTCACCCTGTCCTTTTGCAGTTTCCTTCCAGCAAAGCCATCTGAATGTCAGGGCAAAGATTACACTTTTTCCCTGGAGCAGGAAGCATTCCCAGTGATTGCAGCTATTTTTATCTTCATTCTACTTCTCTTAAAATGCTTATGGAGCCACCATGGAATCCCCCCTCCTGTCTCTCCTTGCAGCATCTTGTTTTCTATTTTCAGCTTCATGAATGGAAACAAGGCCAAGTTAAGTAGCCTCTGAATGGCTGACAAGTGAATGAGCCGCCAACTTTAGGTCTGCATATTTTTGCACCATAGGCTTTATGGAAGTCTCGTATATCCGTTTCTCTGCTTAGTCAGTTTCAACATGAAAGGGGAAAGTCTCTCTAAACATAATATTATTTCATGATACCATGGTAAAATGTCATCTCACAAAAATGCGGTTCTGTCTCCATTATACTGCAGTGCTCTCAATTTAACAAAAAGTGGCTTTCTTTAAAAAAATTAAAGCAGGGTTAAGTAAAATGTGGCTCATAAGCTGCATATAGTCCTTTGGAGCTCTCCAAAGCTCCTGGGTGCCCCAAAGAATATTTTTTCAGGATAATTTTTGGACATGTTTACCCCAGAAACCCAGTCAAAATATTCTAAAACAGCCTAGAATGTCCAGTGGTTAGCTCAATGTTGGGTTCATGAAGAATTTGGCAACAGCAAAAGGTTTCTGAATGCCGGCCATTTACCCAAATCTTTTAGCAACAATATACAGCATTTACTCTGCAGAAAATGCTTCAGCTGTACTTCATAAACAAAAAAAAAATCAGCCTGTTATCGAGCCTTGCAAACGCTGATTTGTTTTCAATCAGTTTGATTCTTATAACTATTTTGTATATCTGTATACCCAGGGTCACATAAAAATTTACCAGATAGAAAGGGGTTATGAGTGTAAAAGGTTTAAGAAGCTCTGCCCTAACCAACGACACTGAATTTCCTAAAGCTGAGAAAATAATAATAATAATAATACACTTTATTTATATTCCGTTCTATCTCCCAGAGTAGACTCAGAGAGGATTACAGTATACACATATATAGACAAATATTCAATGCCTTTTATACAGTGAACAATGACATACAATACAAACAAAGGCAAAGATTTCCCTTCTACCTCCAGCATCTGGAGGTAATGGTCAACTCTGGCCATGGGGAAGTGCTCTTGTTCCATTTTTCCATGCCGTGGAGCCTGTTGTCCATAGACCCTCCTGGTGATGTTGCCAGAATGACTACATGAGCGTCTTTTACCTTCCCACCGAGGTGGTACCTATTGATCTATTCACAATTCATGCTTTCAAACTGTTCGGTTGGCAGAAGCTAGGGCTAAAAGTGGGAGCTTACCCCGGTGCTGGGTCAGCACAAAATCAGCCAAAAATAATAGCTGTAAGCAATGTCATGTTAATTTGAATTCTGCATTGCCCATCCAGCTCTAAACATTTATTTTGCACCAAAGTGTTGGCTGCATCAGATAGTAAAAACATTTTTGTTCAAAATACATTTCTAAAGTAAGCCTTCATAACAAGTGAGGACACATAGATGGGGTGTATGTAATGCACAACTTTAATCTGAATTTCTGTCTGCCTAATATTATTAACTGAGAGCACTAACCAAACAAAATTATTTCATTTGCTACAGCATTCCTAAAGTAATTCTGGAAAACATTCCCATATCAACCTGATGCATGTACCATTATCCCCACTAATTTCACTAGTGTGTGAAAAATAGCCTTGTGATTTGGCACAGCAGAATACTGGGGAAGGAAGCCATTTTTCTGCCTTGGAGAACGTACCTTCATTTCCTCCTCTTAGATGCACTGTATGAAAACAAAAATAATTTCTAAGAACCCATTGCTAACATTTCTATCCTGACAACATATCTTAACTGATTTTTTTGGTGTTTAATTCTGTTACAATTTTTGTATATTTGTATATTTTAAATGCTGTGCTAATGCTTTTATATCAAGCTGTTTTGAGTCCTTTAAGGAAATAAAGTGGGATTTAAACAAATAATAATAATAACAACAACAGCAACAACAACAATATTTTGACTTAAACATTCAACCAAGGTTACTGGAAAACCTTGACTTTTCATGTGGAATTGCATTTTATCAATAGAAGCCTTCGTTAATATGGAATTATAAAATATATTGTAATGTATATTTTGGAGTGTCCAGTGGTGCAGTGGGTTAAACCACTGAGCTGCTGAACTTGGTGACTGAAAGGTCAGTTGTTTGAATCTGGGGAATGGAGTGAGCTTCCATTGTTAGCCCCAGCTTATGCTAACCTAGCAGTTCAAAAACATGCAAATATGAGTAGATAAGTAGATACCACTCCAGTGAGAAGGTAATGGCATTCCATGCAGTCATGCCGTCCACATGACCTTGGAGGCGTTTATGGACAAAGCCAGTCTTCAGCATAGAAATGGAGATGAGCACCACCCCCCAGAGTCAGACATGACTAGACTTAATGTCAGGGGAAACCTTTACCTTTTAATGCATATTTTCTGTTCGTATATTTAACATTTTTATATTTGGAAACATAAGAAGCAATGATTTGTCGTGTCTCTCAGTCATACGCAATAACTGATGCTGGACTTTGTTTTGTTCATGGAAAGGTTATGGATATGCTCCACAATATGGGACCAGAAACAGTCGTAATCACCAGCTCAGACCTACAGGCACCTTCAGGAGATGATTATCTGATAGCATTAGGAAGCCATCGAAAAAGTAAATGCATTTACTTCTTTTTTTCATGGTGTAGTATTGACTTATATTTATTTAAATGTGAAACAATAGAAACATAAATTTTGAAATATGGCTTTTTTTTTCTTCTTTCACAAAATATGCAATTCCGTTTGAGTTATTTTGCATGATTTATTCAGATATTGCCAGTTGTGGAAAGAGGCAAACTACAATGGAGGGAACTAAAACGCTATCTCCAGATGTTGACAGTTTTATTAAACTACTGCCTTGGTGTGTGAAAAGTTGATAGTCATTGCCCACAAAACATTAAAAAAGCCAAGTGCAGTAGAAACTTCAGGTTTATTTTTTAACAAAAAAAAATGATTATGGGAAATAGGAATTATATAGTAAGTCAAACACCCTGTATTTTTCTGTCCTCCCAAACTGCTGCTAATATTTTTTCAGGGATATTTCCAAATTTAGACACACATTGTAGCTTGAATACCACGTTGCCTATCTTGGTTTAGCCTGAGATGTTTGTTTTGAACACATGAATGGGGAAAATATAAACATGTATCTGCCTTAACAGGGACACCAGATGGCACCACAGTGACGCAGAGGATCCGAATGGAGTCTCCTAAAGTAGATGCTGTCTTTGTTGGAACAGGAGACTTGTTTGCTGCCATGCTCCTGGCCTGGACTCACAAGCATCCAGACAACCTAAAGGTAAGTAGACCCATTGAATCAACAGATCTTTTTAAAGTTTTGAGTTGCCTTTTAGCAATTGATTCAGGTAGTTTCTTCCGGTTTGAACTCTGAATTTAATTTAGCTCTTAGTATCTATTGATTTTTCTCTCTGTATATACTGGAGAATAAGCCGACCTGAACATAAGCTCAGGCACCTAATTTTACCACAAAAAACTAGGAAAACGTATTAACTTAGTATAAGCTGAGGGTGGGAAATGCAGCAGCTACTAGTAAATTTCAAAATAAAAATAGATAACAATAAAACTACATTAATTGAGGCATCAGTAGGTTAAATGTTTTTGAATATTTACATAAAACTGTAATTTAACGTAAGACTGTCCAATGATGATTAATGATTAAACCATTACCTTCTTCAATGTAAATTTGCTTGTGTATTCTTCCAGTAATAATAAAGAGAGTAAAATAATAAATGTAATAAAATAATAATAATAGAGTACATTAATGTATATGCAATCATAACAATAATAATAGAGTAAAATAATAAATGTAACAATAATAATAAATAGAGTGAAATACATGTAATAATAATAATGGAGTATGATACTAAATGTAATATAATCATAATAATGAATAGAGTAAAATAATAAATGTAATAATAATAAATGGAGTATAATACTAAATGTAATAATAATGATAATAGTAAAATAATAAATGTAATAATAACAATAATAGAGAAAAATAAATGTAATAATAACAAACAGCAATAATAAAAATAATAGAGTAAAATAATTGCAAGGAAGCAGGGGAGCGGAAGATGATTTATTGTATATTTCTTTAAATTCTGCCACCAACGCGAGGTATGAGGTTTTACTATGAGATATGGCACATCAGACGCAGTATTAATGGAGATGAGACTGTTTTAACTAAAGATAACAGGTTTATTTAGTAAACAGCATATGGCTGCAAGTTGTAAACTTTCTTATTGAACTTTGAAGGATACTTGGTTTGAAATGCTTTCCACTCTTCCAGGTTACACAGTATCGTTTACTTTTCCTGAGGCGAAGTTCTTTTTATTAAACAATGTTTCAATATAGGTATATCTCTCCTATTTGATCTGTCCTTGATCAAATAACTCAGCAAGCTTATTCTTTAGCCTTAACCTAACTAAAGAAAACTGGCTATGTTTCTCCTTACAGCCTTGTTAGACTGAGAAACCTCCAGACTACTTATTCAGGCTTCCCAAAGCCTCACTATTTTACTTCACCCTTCCTTTCACTCTCTCACTGCTCCCCATACAAACTCACTGCTTCCCAGAACACTAACCAACTCCCAACTGACACAAACTGTCCGTTGCTCCACTCTCTCCCCTTGGCTCCTCCCACTTCTCCACCTGCTGCCAGCTTGACTTGGTCACCATGGCAACGCTGACTGAGGTTTTCTTTGAAATAGGCCGCTCCAGTGTTACTGTAGCTAACCCCCATATATATATATATATATATATATATATATATATATATATATATACACACACACACACACACACACAATTTAAAACATGCAAAGTATTAATAAATTCCGCACAATAATAAATGCAATAATAAAACTGTAATAATAATAATAATAACAACAACAACAACAACAACACGGTAAAAAAATAACTTTGACCCGAGTATAAGCCGAGGGGGGCTTTTTCAGGCCTAAAAAAAGGGCTGAAAAACTTGGCTTATATTACAATATATACAGTAATTAAATATTTTCTTGTGAATCTTCTTGTAATGCAATTTAAGATGGGTGTTGGATGGTGTTGGTGGAGACTTCCTCCTGCTTCCAGAGCAGCTGGGGAAATCTCTGTATGGACTTGTCTTGTGCTCAATCCAGTGTCTAACACGCTGGATCAGGCCTGATTTAAGGGTCAGTGGAGATGTGCCTTCTGGCTCAACTTAAAACATAAACCCTGGATAACTGCACCCAAGCAGAGTAATAAGAGAGCTGGGAAAGTCTTGGACACTGCCTCTTCTCATATTATTGCTTTGCTCAAATGCAGTAGCAATGTTAGATTTCCATATTGCAGGGCGAGTCTCCATAAATAGCAGACACTCTCTTTTTCAGGTTTTCATTCTTCTCTTTAATTGATCCATTTTATAACACTTCAGTATGGCTTTTGTCTCCAGCATTCACCTTGATGAGCAGTAAGAAAAACTGGTACTAAAAGCTTTCTTTAGCAGTAAAAGAAAGCTTTTACCCACAACTTACCTAGTGCTATTTTATTTGAAAGTGATCTTTCTATGGTGGGAACAAGATATGATGAAAACAGCTTTGAAGAAAAGAACTATTTGTTTCACTGAAACTGATAAATGGTCTTAATACAACAGTCCTGCTGGCAGCCGGCAAAGTTCCATTAAAACTGAAGTCTCTTTCTTTCAATTGAAGGTGGCATGTGAAAAGACTGTGTCAGCCATGCAGCACGTTTTGCAGAGGACCATCAAGAGTGCAAAAGGTAATCAATTCACATGATGTTTCTGATTCATCCATTTGCTGTTACCGGGGAGTATATTTAAAAGGGGTCATACTTGAGAATTCCCTGTTAAGCTTTTCTAAACTGCCTCTGCCCTCTTCTTGTGTTGGGGAATTTTTGAGGCATTACCTTGGAAGAAACACTGTGACTTGCATGGAACTGATATGCTTTTGAAACTATAGCCATATCATTTTGGGTAGGATGGGAGAACTTGTCTCCCTTTGTATCACATTTAGTCGAATAACTATAAAAATGACAGCACAAGACTTTCAGATTCTTTTATATGCATGCACCAGAGATTGGATGAGTTATTTTTGGGGCCACTCCTCAAATACCCCAGCTAAGAGGGTCAAGAACACCCGAATTCCCCAGTGGCCATACTGGTGGGGGAATTCTGGAAGTTGTACCTAAATGTATTTTTAGAATCACCCAAAAGGTCAACAAGGAGGGCATTTCAAGGATGTCAGACCATGGCCCCATCTGCACTGCCATATAATGCAGTTTGAACTGGATTATATGTTCAGCCTATACTCATATAATATAGATTGAATTTCATTGAACTGGATTATATTAGTCTACACTGCCATATAATCCGGTTCAATCTGCATTATAATGGCAGTGTAGATGGGGCCCACAACAAAGGAAGTTTAGTTCATGGTACTTATGAATCTACATCTTGGAAAATGTGGTTTCTGTGCTATAGTTCCACAAATTCCCCAATTGATGTGGTTGTTAACAGTCAAGAAATTAAGTACTCCAAGTTTTGTGTTTCTATAACAACTCTCACCAGTGGATGTGACACCAGATCCTTTGAGTTTTAAAGTTGTAGTAAAACAGGAAGGAAAATAAATTGGTGTGCTACAGACTGTAGGACCGGAAGGAACAATATTTTCATCAATGCTTCTTGATCTTAAACATTTATGATATTTACCTGTTCTGTTGTTGTGTTTGTTTTGTTTTTAGCCCTAGCTGGAAAAGGAAACAAACCTAATTCAGCCCAGCTGGAACTGAGGATGGTCCAAAGCAAAAAGGACATAGAAAACCCAGAGATAATAATAAGAGCTACTGAGTTATAAAGGTTGTGTATCTCCTAACAACGCACAATGTATTGATGTCCTCATTTTCTTTCCTGTAAGTTGTAATGTTTGCCTTAGATCTGTGACAGAAACCTGACTTCCATGAAATAGTGCCCAGCATAGATGAGATCCACTACCAAGCACATGTGCTGGCCTTGCTTGAATTGAGAAGGAAAAAAATTAGGTGTATATTGCAGCTCTCTCCCAGGTATGAAAAGGGTTGTCTGATTAATTCAGTCTTATTGTAAACCCTGGATGTGGGAGCACAAGGTTTCCTGCCTTGCCAAAGACTTTCAGAATGCATTTGTTAGTGTAATGCTTGTCTGGAGTAGATACATATATTGTGGTAAAGCATTGTGTGCCAACTGTGTAGGTTACCTTTTCTCTCAGTAAAGAGATCTGGTAGCCTGCTACAATACTCTGTACCTCAACCACTCTGGAAGAAAAAGTGGAGGGAGATACAGACAGAGTCTATGGTGGGGATCCAAAGTTAGCTTTTGGGTCCCCTGTATTGTCCTTGGAGGTCTAACGACATGTGGTTGAGGGTTTCTCCCATTTCTGGTCTGAATAATTGCAAGATTCCACCACCCAGAGGTGCTAATCTTTTAATATCAAAATTATCCCATGTTATTTTTTGTTCATGTCGATAACGCCTTTCCTTTACTCCATAAAGAGATCAGAATGAGTATAAGATAGAAGTGATTCTACCTCTGATAGAAAATGTTTGCCTGAGTTTTATCAAAGCCTTTTAAAGATGCAGATTTTCATTAATAAGTATCTTATTGTGAAATCTGAATTGCCGGTTTATCTCCTAATGAGTGCAAGTAAGTCATATTTGTTGAGAATCCCCTATTTGTGACAACTGGTTGTTGCGCCCCCTGCTCCACAGGATGGACGATGACATGAAAATGCCAGTTTTTCAGTTGGCTCCCTCAAGTCCCATCACTTCTGCCAAAGCACACACCAAGCATTGCTGTTGCGCACCCTCCATGCCTTTCAAAGAGACTTGTGCAGAACTCTCATGCAAGCCTGATGGAAGTGAAATAGATTGCAGAGTGTTCATTGGGAGATTGAGGCAGGATTGCACCCAGTTTTATCCATAGTGCAGCATGGATCTAGACCAGGTATGAGCAAACTTTGGCTCTCCAGGTGTTTTGGACTTCAACTCCCACAATTCCTAACAGCCTCAGGCCCCTTCCTTTTCCCCTTCAGCCACTTAAGGAAAGGGCCTGAGGCTGTTAGGAATTGTGGGAGTTGAAGTCCAAAACACCTGGAGGGCCAAACTTTGCTCATACCTGGTCTAAACTTATTAATATGATGGTCCTATCTTCAAGAGTTTTACCAAGTTTTTATTAAAATGCCCCCCTTCAAAAATAAACAATGGCGTATACTCTCCAGTGAAACTTAGACATTTTGAATGCACTGGGAATCAACACAGATTCAAGATACTCTGGTATGCAATAATCACTTTAAAGTTGTTGAATAGCATTGTTTCCTCTTACTTAATTTCTGAATCCTAGAAACAGGTACATTTAGAAACGTAATCCTGTTATTCTTCCTCATTCTCCATCTTCCATTTTGTTTTGGTTTTTTTGTCCAAAGACAGTATAGATAGATTTTTATTTTTCCTCCAGATAAAACAGGGTATCAAAGCAATCCATGATCCTTCAGTGTTTCTGAAACACTTGTGCTACTGTTACTTCTTTCTTTCTTTCTTGAAAAATAACCAGGGTACTTTTATCACTTTTGTGAGAACAGTCCATTTCTTGGGACATTTTCAGGAAATGGGATTCTGCAGATGTGTTCCCATTGACACTGGTGGCTCTTGAAGCAGCATTCACAAGGTGTCTTTGTTTCTTAGAATATCAAGAGCTCCAGCCTGTGTTTATATAGAATATCCATTTTTTCCTGTCCTTCATGTCCAGACTTACTTACTTACTTACTTACTTAGGCGATCCCTCGTAGCCCAAGGATGATGTTCCTCCAAGTCTGGTGTATTGGCGGTGGGTCTGTAAGTGGCTGAGGAGCCCTATTCTTGGTCCGCATGTTCTCCTGCAGTGAGAACATCGGTTCCCAGATGGAAGGTGGTCCCGGTTAGGGTTGGCTTGACACGCCTTCCCCTTGGCACGTTTCTCCCTTTCACCCTCCACTCGTGCCTCTTCAAATTCTGCAGCACTGCTGGTCACGGTTGACCTCATGACCAGAGGTGTCAGTTTGATTGCAGACTTTTTCCAGTGTTGTCATTGGCATCAAATACCTTTCCTATTCCTGCCCTTTAAATCACAATGTAAAGTCTGTTGAAAGTTTTCCTAGAGAAAATCTCACCCCACTAGTATCAGTAAACACCATGAGCCATGACAAAAGTATGAAGAGGTGTTTATAGCTTTCAAAGAAAAAAAAAGAAAGCCTTCCTTACAGTGCATGCACCTGATAGACTTCTATGGCATTTGTTCCTTCCCTTTAAAAACAAATGGAAATATGAATGAAAACCTCCTTGTTCTGTGTATTTTTAGGAACAAGCATCCGCTGATAATTCTTTCTGTGGAGATCCACATATTCCAAAGTGAAACTGCTTGAGATAGATTTGAAATGAGGGCATCCTCTGAATATTTATTTCTCATATCAGAAGCGAACCGAGGGTACAGTTGTAATGTATTTAAAAACACAGAGTTTGAAAACTTGGCATTATATTAAATGTCCTTTAACCAGTAGCTGGCCACTTGGAGTGCCTCTGGTGTCGCTGTAAGAAGGTCCTCCATTGTGCACGTGGCAGGGCTCAGGCTGCATTGTAATAGGTGGTCTGTGACTTGTTCTTCTCCACGCTCACATGTTGTGGACTCCACTTTGTGGCCCCATTTCTTAAGGTTGTCTCTGCATCTCGTGGTGCCAGAGCGCAGCCTGTTTAGCGCTCCTCTGAATGCCTTCCGATGATATTTCATTCCTGGCCCTCTCTGCCTCTTGGGAAAAAGCTGCTTCCACTTACTGCCTCATCACACTAGAGCATGGATCCACTTTAAATCCTGTTTCTGCATCCTGCAGCATTCTGGGCTTTGTAGTTTACTGAGACCTGGGACCTGCCTGGCTGAGCATTTTAAAGGCTCCTCCCTAGACTACAAGCCCCAGAATGCTACAGGAGGTAGCAGCGTAAGCAGTTTCATATGGTAGCATTTATTCTGCTAGTTATGGATTTTGACTTCAGAGATGGTACAGATTCAAGGTGAGAGGGCTCATTCATCCTTAGTGTGAAAATCAAGCAAAATGTGGTCTCTACCCTGTCTCCCTCTGATATTTCTGTGTAGCATCCAAATAGGAACAAATCGTGCCAAGAAAACCCTGTGATGGGGTCGCCTTATGGTCCCCATAAGTCAGAAATGACTTGAAGGAACACGATAACAACAAATCCAAAAATGATCTGGGTGAACTTGTTTCCATAGAAAGTAACACCATATTTTTTAAAAATTCAAAATGTTTAAGAAGCCTTGTATCTAAGTGGTTTTCCTTTCCCCCACCCCAACCTTTTCACAGCCTTTACATTTAATTTCAGGACTCACATACCTCTCTCTATATCAGTGGTTCTCACCCTGTGAGTCCCCAGATGTTTTGGCCTTCAACTCCCAGAAATCCTAACAACTGTTAAACTGGCTGGGATTTCTGGGAGTTGTAGGCCAAAACACCCGGGGACCCACAGGTTGAAAACCAGCACTGCTCTATATTAACTTTTTAACACTTTTGAGGCAAATTGCAGGTGGTCTTTCATCAAATCTGATGGAAATCCATTTTCTTAAAACACACACACATACTCAGTTTGTCAGCCTTGATGCCCTCTACCGTTTTCTCAAGGTACTTTCCATATTAATAGGAAGAATTCCCTACTAATGAGAACTGGGTTTACTGCTACTAGTTAGAGACTCCACTGATATAAAATGAGGATGATGTGACTGTTTCTCGATTGCGTGAGATTCCTCCCATCTTCATACCGACACATCAAAGTATCTTATGTCGCAACAGTAGCACTGTTTTAAAATAGTAATAATGTTCTCATATATCAGTACATATGGCCACTTTATATTAATATCTGTATTCAACAAAAATCTCAGATTAGTGGACTATAGCTGCTTGTTTAATATTTCTAGACCCCAGTATATTTTTTTTATCACTGTCCCTGGTTAAAGTTTTGTTTGGCTTGACAACATTCCACACTGGTTTATCTGAAAGTCCAAGGAAACTGATTCCCCTTTCACACAACTGTATAACATCCCACATTATCGGCTTTGTACAGTGTTATATGTCAGTGTGGAATCAGATGACCCAGGGCTCTTCCACACAGCCCTGTATTCCAGAATACCAAGGCAGAAAATCCCATGATATCTGCTTTGAACTGGGTAATCTGAATCCACACTCAGATAATGTGGGATTTCCTGCCTTGATATTCTGGGTTATATGGCTGTGACATAAAGAGTCACGATCATTCCTTCCCTTCTTTATGCTTATTTATGCTGCCTTAGGAGATACCTGCTCTCAATTGAAACTTCCTAGGCCATGGGTAAAATCAGCACCTATAGAAATACTGTTTTCCTCTCCCTGTGTTACATTTGGCTTCACGTGCATCCTATAGAAATGAATGCACGAAATTCATTTTCTTTAGATAATTAGGAATAAATCCTTTCATTAGAGATTTTAAAAACACGGCTTTATTAGCATAGAATTTGGGGTGCAAAATCTTCCCAAATACTTTCTTCTGTAGAATAATGGTACATCAAGCTGACTACAGCCATAGTCAGAAATGTAAGCTACTCTAAAGAGAAGGAAAGCATCACTTTATCTGAATTCAGTCTCAGACTTCGTATGTGGCCCAAGACAGACAAACTGCACCTCCAAAAAACAACTTCAATAAAATATTCCTTTCTTTAGAACAGTAAATGCTTTTGAGATTCATATAATTGATCGTATGATCTTGATCCTGTTCTGATCAGTTCATCACTTTGGTGGCCCAGCTGGGTACAGAAGCAATTAATAAACCCACTTAATAAATAAACAACAATAAATTTAATCACTCTCTGATTCAGAGCATGGTCTTTGCTACTGAATCTTCAGTCCCTTACACACATCTGAATTCAGTCCCACATGATCTGCTTTGAACTGGGCTATATGGCAGTGTGGACTCAGAAAACCCAGTTCAAAGCAGATATTCTGGGATTTTCTGCCTTGATATTCTGGGATATAGGGCTGTGTGGAAGGGCCCTTAGATTGCTGTCATTGAGAATTTTTAATTCTTGTGGTTTTTAAGATACTTCTTTTTAATAAGATTGTTTTTAAGAAAAAGTTCACTTTCTTGATTCCTCTCTCCCCAAAAACTCTGTTTTTGCAGCAACAAAAACCAATTATTTGTCTTATATCTGAACAAAGGATTCCACTGATTTTGCGAATTAGATATACATGGAGGGGTCAGCAGAGAGTCTCCTTCTCTTCACATTTTAGCACATTCATTTAGAGGAATGAGCATCTCAGCAGGGCTATGGTCCCATTTACAGATCTGTTTATTGGCAGAACTTATTCTCAGTTTCTCATCCTCAGCTGCAGAGTCTGAGGCCCCTTCCACACATCTGGAAAAAATCCCACAGTATCTGCTTTGCACTGGTGTATATGTCAGTGTGGACTCAGATAACCCAGTTCAAAGCAGATACTGTGGGATTTTCTGCCTTGATATTCTGGGATATAGGGGTATGTGGAAGGACTTGAGTCTATCGGGAAGGAAGTGGTTTATGCTTTCGACCACT